CACACAAAAAGAGCTAAAGCAAATAGAAATACTGTTAACTGATGGTATATGGAGGGGATTATAATCATTGTAATGAACAAGGTGTATGATTGTTGAATGTAAAACTTTTGATCTGCCTGGTAAACTTTCACTAAATCCACAATAAAAACCTTAAACAACAACAACAACAAAAAACAGTAACAAAAAGGTCCACTGAAAAGAGAGAACAGCTCTCAACATGCTTTATGAACCAACATACTTTGGTACCAACCCTGAAGACAAGGTCATGACTTGAAGACGCTGCCATGACTGGCTGTGGTATGCTCGCATGGGTAGTACATGGACTAAAACGGACACAGCACAGAGAAGATGGGCATGTTCCCTCTACACGGATGGCAGTCACGTTAATGGGCCATATTTTTTCCAGAAAAAGAGCTAGATTTCTGTTTTAAGCATTTTGAAAATGTTTTCCTATAATCATCTGCTGCTTCAAGTGTGAAGGAACAGAGCCATCAAAACTGCAGTTACTTCAAATGGCTCATAAAAAAGCAACTTTTGAAAAACTTTTACAATAAAATTTTTAAACTTTGACTGGAAGAACCTGAGAATATGTCCCTTTATCATCCTTCAGGTCTGGACCGAAACTGACTTTTGGGGCCCAAATTTCAGACAAGTAGTGGTGGAGGTGGTTACATGCTGTGGAGTCAGTTCTGACCCATAGTGACCCTGTACAGGGATTCAGAGGCTATAATCTTTACGAGAGCAGAAAGGCTCATCTTTTTCCCATGGAAGAGCTGGTAGTTTCAAACTGCAGACCTTGAGGTTCACAGCCCAATTCGTAACCACTACGCTAGGAGAGCTCCTCAGCCAAACAGTAGGGCAGGTTTATAGAGGGGAACAACAAGGCTAGTAAGGTATGCTCATCATGAAAGGGTCAATCATTCAAAATAGAAAGGGCAACACTTTCCTAAGGGCAAAATTGTGAAGGGATGGGAAGGTGGGTGGAATGCAAACAGGAACCAGAGGGAGGAAGTGGGATAACTGCTGTTACATGGAGGAGATTGTAATCATTGAACTGCAACAAAGTGAATGATTTACTGAATGTGAAACTGATGATCTTGTCTGTAAACCTTCACTCATTTCACAATAGAAAACTAAATTATTTTAACTTCATTTTATACTGAAAGAGAATGACAATGTGTTTTAAAAACAAAAACAACCATTTTGTGCTTTATCAAGCCAGCATAGCTGGGGTGCTGTTCTTTCTTGGCTGCCGAGCATCTGCCGCCATCACCACTCCTGAGGTAGCTCTCCGAATCAGGAGCACGAATGATCATGGATGGCCTGCATCCAGGTAGGCAGCAGTGCCCAAGACTGAAATTCAGGGAAACCTAGCCAAAATGTACAAGACTCCACCAGATGTCATCTTTGTGTTTGGATTCATAACCCAATTTGCTGGTGGCTTCAGGGTGATTTTCAATTCCTTGGATTATGCAGCGAAAACGGAAGCCAAACACAGACTTGTAAGACACAGTCTGTATCAGAAGAAAAATACCTCAAGAAAACAGCACAGAAACCCAAGAACAAGATGAAGAAAGTCAGGACACTGCCAAGATTGACGCTGTTGTTGTTAAATACCGTGGAGTCAGTTCCAACTCATAGTGAGCCTGTGCAGGGTTTCTGAGACTAAATCTTTACAAGAGCAGAAAGCCTCATCTTTCTCCCATGCAACGACTGGTAGTTTTGGACTGCTGACCTTGAGGTTAGCAGCCAGATTTGTAACCACTAAGATCAACGTAGGTGCTGGCAAAAGGAATAAAGATTCTGCCATGACTAGATCAGCTACAATATGTGGATTTACACTAGTGGTGGTGGTGCTCTGGATTGTTGTTGTTGTTGTTGTTGTTGTTAGGTGCCACTGAGTTGGTAGCAACTCATAGCGACCCTATGTACAACAGAATGAAACACTGCTCAGTCCTTGGCCAACCTCACCATGTGTAACCAACATCCAACATTAACTTGCTGATGAGACACTGAAAGCAATTCTCTTGAGAACAGGAACCAGACAAGGATGCCCTCTATCACCACTCCTATTCAGTATTGTATCAGAAGTCCTCACCAGAGCAGCAAGGCAAGAAAGGGAAATAAAAGGCATCCAAATTGGTAAAGACTCCTGGTGTGGCGCTGTAGGATCAGCACTGGACTGAAACTCAAGGTCGGCAGTTCAAATCCACCAGCTCCTCCTCAGAAACCCTACACAGAGTCGCTATGAGTGGAACTAACTCAACAACACTTAACAACAACAACAACAACAAATCAATAAGGAAAAGGTAAAGCTATCCCTACTTGCAGAAAATATGATGCTATAATAAACAGAAATTCCAGAGACCCAGGAAGAAAATTATTGGAACTGAAAGATTCAGCAGCGTGGCAGGTTACAAGAACAATCAAAAATCAGCCGAATTCCTTTATACTAATTAAAAAAAAACTCTGAAAAGGAAATGAGGATAAGAGTGGCACTTAAAATAGCTCCCAAAAAGATAAAAATTGTTGCTGTTGTTTTTAAGTGCCATCGAGTCAGTTCTGACCCATAGCGACCCTGAACAGGGTTTCCAAGTCTGTAAATCTTTATGGGAGCAGAAAGCCTCATCTTTCTCCCACGGAGCAGCTGGTGGTTTTGAACTTCTGACCTTGTGGTTCGCAGCCCAATTCATAACCAATACGCTACCATACTAAGAATAAAGCTAACCAGAGATACAAAAGACCTACACAGAGCTGACTACAAAGCAATACAAGAAACTGAGAGCCACATAAAGGGCAGCACACACCATGTAAATAGCATGATTCAGCATTGTGTAAATGGCAGTACTAGTCAAAGCGACCTCCAGATATAATCACAATCCAGATTCCATCAACGTTCTCCAATGAACTGGAAAAACCCATCATTCACTTGTCACAGAGAGGAGTAAGCAAAGCACTACTGAAGAAGAACAAAGCAGAAGGTCTCACTTCCTGATTTTAAAACCCACTATGATGGGCTTCAAAAAATTCATGGAAAAATGGAATTTAAAAGATAATGGAATTCTTCCACATACTTTTTGAATCCCCTTCATATATACCTCTGGTACTCAAAATACACTGATGAGAGCCTGAAAGCACACCAGTACCCAGGGCTGAGAGGAAACAGCACAACAGGACTACACATGCAGGCCAGTGTGGTGACTCAAACAGTGGAGGCTACATTGCGTGGACCGAATTACAGAGGGCAGTGCCTGCTGGATAGTCCATTCAGCCCTGGTGCTGGCCCAGACTCAACATGGAAGAGAAGAGAGAATGCTAGGTTACATGAGGACACAGCGGTGTCAATGTGTCTGTTGTATGTCTATGACTAGTTTATTTCCTTCACCAGTTAGAGATTTCAGCAGATTAATGGCTCCAAATTCCCTAAGAACGACTAATTTTGGAACACAAGCTATCAGTATAAAACAGATCACTTAAATATTTTTCTACTGGTTTAAACCTCCTTGAAGACAACTTTTTAGGACTCTTCAGTCAAACAGTTGCACCTCAATGAAAAGAAAATAAAAATCTTCACCACTGGGCCAACAAACAACATTCATCCAAATGGAGAAAAGAATTAAGTTGTCTTTTCTCTTTATTTTGACTTTATTTTGCTCGGATCAACCATCACCACTCTTGGAAGCAGCAGTCAAGAAATCAAATGATGTACTGCATAGGCAAATTTACTGAACAAGTGTTCAAGAGCAAAGATGTCAGTTTGAGAACTAAGGTGCATCTGACCCAAGCCACGGTATTTTCAGTAACTACATATGCATGTGAAAGTTGGACAGTGACTAAGGAAAACCGTAGAAGAATTGATGCATTTGAGTTCTGGTGTTTTAGAATATTGAAAGTATCATGGGCTGTCAAAAGAACAAACAGGGTCAGAGAAAAAGAGGAAGACCCCCAACGAGATGGATCAGCCAGGTGGCATCATTGATGGACTCAAGTGTGGCAGCGGTAGTGAGGTTGGCCCAGGATCGGACATTGTTTCGTGCTGCTGTGCATGGGGTTGCTATGAGTCGGTTCCGACTCGATGGCACCTGACAACAACAACAACAACAACACATGTGGATCAGGCAATCAGGATGCTTCTGTGTTTGAGATCAGTGTTGAAGCTCTGTCAACAGGAAGCAATGAGGGAGAACATGCACATGGAGGGAAAGACCAAAAGTGTAGACACAAGAAAGCTTGCTGTATCTTCTGGAGCTTAGGTTATCTACTGCAAAATTGTAAGAACAAAGACTGGAAGAGTAGGTTAGGTCAGACTGTGGAGGACATTAAAAACCAAACTGAGAGTAATGTGTTCATTAAGTGGCATTGTGAACTACTGGAAAGATTTGAATGCAGGTGCAGTGTGAGTCTACATCCACTATTAAAGATTACAGTAGTATACATGGTAATCGGAGCTGAACTAGGATGCTGACAAAGGCAATACAAAGTAGATTAAGTGAGATGAACAGATTGCTGGCAATTTCTAACATGCCCCCAGAAGAAAATAAAAGAAAGCTCATGTTGAAATGTACAGGCATACCTCAGAGATTTTGCAGGTCACTTCCAGACCACCATAATAAAGTGAATATGGCAATAAAGCGAGTCACCCAAAAAAAAAAAAAAAAAAAGAACAAACAAATCTGCACTGAAGGAAGTACAGCCAGAATGGACAGTTTGTCTCTCATCTTTGGACATATTATCAGGAGGGACCAGCCCTAGGAGAAGTATATCATGTTTGGTAAAATGGAGGGTCGAAGAAAAAAAGGAAGACCCTCCAACTAGATGGATTGGTACAGTGGCGGCAGCAATGGGCTCAAATGTAGCAACAATTGTGAGGTTGGCACAGGACAGGGCAGTGTTTCTGTTGTGAATAGGGATGCTATGGGTCGGTACAGACTCAACGGCACCTAATAACAAGTCAGATCTATGTTCTTTAAGAACTGCAGGTACTATGTGCTCTATATCACCTCTGCTTCTCTCTTCTTTGCCCGTGCTTTCTCCACTTCATCCATCACTTTCTGTGATTCTTCTACATTCCCTTCAGCTCCTAGTTGCTCCACCTTAGCTAACAATTTACCAATTTCTTCATTTAACTCATGAACACGTTCTGCCTAGAAGGAAACACAAAAGAAGATCATGAGTAAAAAACAATGAGTAACAAAAAATTCAAACCATTTCAGAAATGCTCAGTTACGTTACCTAAGCATGATAGTATAAACAATGCCTCGTGATCACATCTCACATGCACTGGGGTGAGATAGTGAAGTGTTCTGAGCCAGGCTGACTTCACCTTCTGGGGGTCTACAGACTCTATAGACCCACACAAGAACTGCTCCTCTCCAGCCTCAAAGAGATTCTCAACTCTATTATCATGATCCTACCTCTCTATCAAAGCAGTATGGTTTCTCTTTAGACATCTATCATTGAATGGTTCTTGACTCTTCCCTGTACCCACTGCCCTTTACCATGCAACCTTAATGCCCTCCTACTCTGTTCTGACTCTGAACCTGGCTGAACAGGATGTAGCAAACCTGCCACAACAGAACATAGGTGTGTTGCTTCTGTACCACCATCAGGCTGCTGGGCTCAGCTCAACAGCTTTCAGCTGACCACCAAACAGGTGAGTCAACCCAATTGCCCAAATTTAGCCTGCAGACTTACAGACTAAGTTAATATCTATGGTTCTAAGTCAGAGTTTGGGGCTGGAGAGTTACACAGCATTATGCAGTGATGGACAGCCAATATAACATCTTTGAGCTTATACATCCCTTTCAATCATGGGGTACTGGATGCCCATCTTCAAAGACCTTTACAGAAAAAAGCCCACCTCCCAAACCGTCAGCCGTCGAGTCAATTCTGATTCATAGGACAGAGTAAACAGTTTCATAGAGTTTCTGAGGCTGTACATCTTTACGAAAGCAAGCCATCAAATCCTCTCTCCTCACGAGTAGGCTGAAATGCCAACCTTCTGGGTTAGCAGCCCAACACTTCACCCATTGTGCCACCAGGGCTCCTTTTTCCAGAAAAGGCTGACTAAAAAAAAACACTTTCCTCAAACAAGGGAATTCCTTTGCACATATGTATCTGAACACCACACTTTATACTGTTGCCAGTAGAAGCCTAACTGGGTAACTCTCTGCCTCACCTTCTAGATTTTTGTGAAAGGCTGCTATTGGACAAGTCAATCATCAAAGCAATCAAATGTAATCTATGGACCCTGTTTGGATCCAGATTAAAACACATCACCTCTATAAATGGAAAAGAACATATTCTGGATACTAAATCACTCTAAAAGATTACTGTTAGCTTCATGGGTGAGATTATGTTTCACAGGTGAAAGGACAGGATAGCTAGAATTTGCTTTTAATTTAATGACACACAGAGCAGAAAACTGAGAATGTTCAAACTCAGTAATGGATCCACTGTAGTTTTTTACTTTTTGTGTCAAAGGAGTTCATAATAAAACATTCTTTACAATGTAGTGAGTTGAGGCTGTGTAATGGACACCTGAACTCATCGTAAAAAACTGTGAATCTACAACTTCAATATAATTTAAAATAAACATGACACCTTTCGTACAAATAAAATGAAGCAAAACGCTTACCTTTGCAGCGACTTCAGCGCTAATTTCTTCTTGAGTTTCTGCTAACCTTTTCTTAGCCACTTCTGTCCTTCGGTCACAGTCCGAAATAAAAGACTGCAAATGATCCATGGCCTAAAAATATTAATCGAAAGACAATTTCAAACTGTCTTATTCTAAGATATCTAATACTCCTAGATTATATTCTAAGCATCACTAATGATTCCCAGAATATCAAGACCTTAAGGAAGCTGCTGCTTTCCAATGTTACAGAAAGACACCATGGATGTACAAGCAGAAACTGTTCAAACTATGTATGGCTTTACTGTGTATAGGCTCAGCAACAAAATACAGAATAAAAGAAACGCAATGTACTAACTAGTTATCAAAAGCCCCTGATTCTACTTCTAACAATTTGTCTTAAAGTCATTAGATCTGTAGAGGGGCTTCGAGATGTTCCTCACAGTGTTGTTATCCCTAATAATGAAAAGTTAAAGATAAGTTAACTGTCCTTTCAACACTAAGAAATATTGACTTGTCATTGAGAAACTTTTTACTAGAATACTTATAAGATATGAGGAAATGTTCCTGGCTCACATATAACTAAATCAAACTGGAAAATGTTACAGGCAGGAGTAAGAATCCAACTTTGTAAAATAAAGAAGCATATTTTAAAAATGGAAGGGTGAAAACTCAATAATAACAATTCTTTTAAAATATTTTTGATCATTTTTATTATTTTCTGTTTTTCAAATTTTCAAATTAAAGGTCACAATCAGAAAAACTTGCCTTTTTTTTTTTTTTTTTTTAAAGTATAAGCCACTGACAATTTTAGCATGTACACTGTAAAACACCAATCCAATATTTATTTACATTACATTAAAAGACATTTTATCAGACATATGGGCTTTCAAATCTTAGGGAAATACAGCTAATTCACAATTATTGTTGCTGTTGTTAATTGCCGAGTCAATTCTGACCGATAGTGAACCTATATACGGTTTCTGAGGAGTGGTTGGTGAGTTTGAACCGCCAACCTTGCGGTTCAAACTGACTTTGCAGTCCAGCGCATTATTAACCCACAGTGCCACACAAGGATACGGAATGTTTAATAAAAAATATAAATTTATTCAGCACACACTGAATTCTAAAAATTGGGTATTTAATTGAAGAATTACTTTTAAAAAGTAAAACCCAATAAGGAGCATTTACAAGCTTTTATCTGTAATGATAAAGAGAGAGCTATTTAATGGGCAAACACTGCTATTGAAAGGTTGGTGGTTTCAAAACAACCTGGAGTCCAAGTGTGGCACTGTGGGTTAATGCACTGGACTACAAGGTCGGTTGAACCACAAGGTTGGCAGTTCAAGCTCACCCAACAGCTCCTCGGAAACCCTATACAGGGTTGCTATGAGTTGGAACTGATTCAACAAAGTTAGCTCTGAAGGAGGAAAAAAAAAAATCTAATGATCTGCTCCCCATTAAGATAACAGTCTAGGAAATCCTATGGGGCACTTCTATTCTGTCCTATTGGGTCTTTAGGAGCTGGAATTGACACAAATGGCACACACAACAATTTGTAACTCAGCTTTGTACATGCTAACAGAAATCTATTAAAATCCCCTTATGCTGTGTTAAAGGTGGGGTAAATACCAGTAAGTAAACAATATATTATGCTAAACCTACTACTAGGAAGCTATTGGAAAAGTAAGCTAGATTCATACCTCAATTCCTTAGATCAGAATAAATTTCTGATGGATCAAGAATTTAAATGTATAAACTATCCAAATTACCAGACGAACTCCTGAAGAAAACTCTGACCACCAACTCTGTGAAGGAAGTTCCTGCAAAAGATAAAAATCTAACCCATTCTAGAAAAACTACATACATCAAGCTCAAAGAAGAAGTCTTGTTCTTTGGATGCAATTTCATAATCCGCTCTTAAAGCCAGGTCATGGACTTTCAGACATTCTCCAAGATCCATTCTCTGGGGAGAAAAGACAGATCATTTTAAAAGCAAAAAACACATTTCTCAAAAACGCAGTAACACAATGATAGTTCTCTCCACAAAACAGATGGAATCACGCAAGAGGCTTCTGTCAAATTTCAAAATTTCAGAAAGGATAAAACCTGGTGCCAGAAAACACCTGCATCAATTCTAACAAATGATGGAAAGAAACAGGCATCATTCTGAAGTTAAAGAAGAAAGGAACAAGGAGCTGCTTCTTTCAGAAGCAAAAAAGGAGGCCTTGATTGTATTTCTCAACCTATTTCATTCAGCCACATAACACAGCAGTCAAAAACAAGGCAGTTTGACATTTTAAAACCAAACTCAAAGAATGTGTACATCACATTACTGAATTCTGGTCAATGTTCTCTGAAGACCATTCTGATTTTAAAATGAAGATGGAGTCCCCGATAGTCCAAGGAACTCCATACTGACTAGGAGACACCCGGTGTCCAACCACAAAGACAACGAGCATCTATCAGGGAAATAAAACTCCTTGTGATACAAGGATTCTTCTATTTAGAAATTCCTGTTGGACACTGCTTACCAAACCATGGGCTTTTTTCACATCTAAGACAAAATCCCTAAAATCAGCCTAATTTTACATGTATCACGACTATTGGTATCTTTTATCACATTTCTTTTGTTGGAAAATCTGAAGGGGAAAAAAAAGAGCTAGGTGCAACGACAATTACAACAAAGCCCGGCAGTAAAGTCCTTCCTTCCTTCAACTGACCAGAGACAGCTGGTGTTGGGGTACACTGAGAAGACAGCTACATCTGTCTCCAACCTAATGAGCCCACAGTCAAGACAGAAAACAAGCAATCAACAAAGACTTGCACTTATGTGCAAAGTCATTGTTTAGTTCCACAGAATCAGGTCCAACTCATTTCGACCCTGTGGTCCACTGCTTATCCTACAACGCCACACCAGGACTCCATGAACAAAGTAAGGTCATTTAATAAACAGTGGTGTACCTCATCACTCCAGCTTGGGATATGCTGGTAAGATAACCCTTCAGAAGAGGAATGATTTAAATTGACCCTAAAACTGGAATTGCCACCATTATCTTTTGACAATCTGGTTGTCCAAAGACAGGTTGGTTGCCAACAAGATGAGACTTTCTGCTCCTGCAAATATCGGTTTCCTTAGAAACCCTATACAGGGTCGCTGTGAATCAGAACAGACTCAACAGCATTTAACAACATATTCAGGGGCTATAGGATAAGAACTGAACTGCTAACCACAAGGTCAGTAGTTCAAGCCCACCGGCTTCTCCAAAGGTCAAAGATGAGGCTTTCTGCTCCAATGAAGATGTGCACTTCTTGGAAGCCCCATTCAGGGCAGCGGTGAGTTACAACTGAGTGGGCGGTAGTGGGCTGAGCTTGGCTTTCATTCCACTAAGACCATGACAATCAGGGCCTCGAAGAAGCATAACCTTACAAGTGGGAACGAGGAGACTCAGAATCATGTTACTTTGGATGTGTTGTCAGGAAGGACCAGTCCCTGGAGAAGGCCATCATGCTTCAGAGAGTCAGCGAAGAAGACAACCCTCAACGAGATGGATTAACACAGTGGCTGCAAGAATGGGATCAGACAGAATATTTGTGAGGATGGCTCCACTGTACGTGGAGTCACTGTGAGTCGGAACTGACTCAAGGCACCTAAACTATAACTGTAAGGAAGCTAACTTGCACACACACCTCTGTGAAGGTCACTGGACTTAGGACAATGACATGGACAATATTGAGGGTGGACTGTAGAATGTACAGCTGTGTCATTTATAATGATAGCCCTTGCTGTGAATGGATTCGATGGCTCGTAGGATCCTACAGTATATGCCTCCTGTGGAGAGGACTACCCTCTGTAGTGGCCTGCAGTTCTGGTAAGCTAGCACAGTGGGGCAGACGGTGAGGGCTGTTCTCTGGCACCTGGGCAACAGATGATGTCCACTGTCTTCAGGGGGCTTTCCACTTTTAAGTACCCTTTGTTCCCAGTCCCTTCCCCTGCCCTTTCTCCATATATTCTATTAGGCATGGAAACATAACTATCTGATTAGTACAATCCCAGAAGAGAGGAATTTAGACATTCTCCTCCCAAACGTGAACTGGGCTGTGTTTGGACAAGACTTGACCCTGTACCAGGGAGTCTGACTTCAGGCTGACCAACTGTACTCTGTCCTATAGGGCCAATATGAGTCAGAAATGACTCAACATCATGTCAGTCCCTATCCATAGCCACCTTGTATAGTGTTTGCGAGGAGCGACTGGTGGGTTTGAATTGCCAACCTTGCGGTCACCAGTCCTATTCCTATCCTATAGTGCCTTACCAGGACCAATTAGTAGATATCTAAATTATTAAGACTGCATCTGAATTATGTAGTGCTACTATAACATAAATCCAATCAGAGTTTTCTCATTGTTTAGGGGCCTGCTGCTATTAAGTGCTGTCAAGTCCATTCTGACTCTTAGCGACCCTGCATAGGATTTCCGAGTTCAAAGTGATCTTATAGTCCACTGCTTTATCCTACGGTGGCACACCAGGAATCAGTTTAGGGGGCTAGAAGTCCAAATTCAGGGTACCAGCTCTAAGGGTAGGTATTCCTTCTCTGCGGGCTCTAGAGAAAAGTCCTCTTCTCTTAGGAGATTCTGCTCTTTGGTGTCCTGGCATCTAGCTGACCTGACTCTTGCCTTTAGTTACAAGCTTAATTGCTTTTGTATCTCAGAAGAGACTGACTTAAAACAGACCACCACATTAACCCTATCTCATTACAAACCACAGGCATTGTGATTAGGGTTTATAAAATATCTGGGGGCATAATTCAATCCATAACAGATTGTAAGTGGGGGAAAAAAAAGACTTTTTTAAAAATGAAACTTTAGGAATTCAGTCTACCTGTTCTGTCCTCTACCATAAATCCTTCTCAACAAAATCTTGACCAACTCCCTTCTCTTTCCTAGTCCCCATCATTTTACACTAAGTGCTGTTTAACATAGCAATTTGTAAACTGCTTGCTTTAGAAATTCCAAAAGTGAGTGTTATCTCCCCAAATGGCTCTAAACCTCACAAGAAGATAAAATGATCCATTTCTCTTATTTCCCCTCCTTTATTAAGACCTAGCTTTGCAAACCCATTACTATTAAAACACACTCAACCACATTGAACAAGAAATTCCATTTTTCTAAGAACTTATGGAAACAATGAAAGGCAGTACAGTAAAATCCCCAAAGAGGATCTGAGTAGGAAAAGTGGAAGAAGAGACTTGAGGGAAACTAGGCTGAGCAAACACTCCCAGAGAAGAGGCTTCTCAGGCACGTTACCTGCTCTGTTAGAGGATGGGAAGAAAAGGTGGAAAAGCAGGGACAAGGTGATACTGGCCCCCAGACTGCCAGTGTGCAAGCTCCGACTAAACTGTAAAAGATTTTGAATTGCATTCAACAAAAGCAGATTTCACTCTGCAGGTAAAGAAGAGTGCTGGGATACTAGACAGAAATGATGATAAAATCTCCTGAGTGGACCAGTAACCAGAAGCTAAAAAAAAAAAGACCAAGGGTAAGTGTGGTGATGTCCACAACCCAAGAAGAAGGCCATAATTGTCAAATTAGAAAAGGAAAGGCAAAGGAAGTGAAGGAGGCAAAAATGGAAGGTTGGCAAGAATACTATTTAAAGCAGGGTGCTGGTAGATGTGTGCTGTGGAGCGGGTTTTGACTCACAGTGACCCTGTGTAGGGTTTCCGAGGCTGTGAATCTTCATGGGAGCAAGAAGCCTTTCTGAAATCATGGGCTCCATGGACATCCAGGATAAGAGAAGACAAGGAACTTTCCAAAGACCATCAGCTAGTAATTGCTGAGCAAAACTGAGCACCCCATCCTGTAACTGGGCTCAGTAGTGCTTCCCGACCATCACATACCAGCCTCCATCAACAGGCTAACTGCCTGGATCACAGATGGCAAACAAAACTGTCATCAACTGTCCTTTCAAACACAAAGAAGCAATTATGCCACCAAGAGAAAAGAATGGACTACATGGGGAGTGTAAATCTGTGACACATAATGTTTCCATTTGGATAAAATCTGAGAGAACATAAGGAAATCTTAACTAACACCAGGCGGTATGGCACAGACACAAGAGCCTAGAGAAGACTCCATGGACTCTGGCTTTCCTAATCCAACTGACAAGTGTCCTTGTCGAAGAGTAAGTACAGCCGCAGCAGGGGTCCGGGGGTGGTGCTGGAGGAGAAGTACTGGGCTGCTAACCACAAGGGAGGTGGTTGAAACCTACCAGCCATTCCTCCAATACCCTATACAGGGTCATTAGGAGTTGGAATCTACTCCAAGGCACTTAACTACAACATAACAGCAGCAGCAGCAAAGGAAAACTAACTGGAGGGGCAGGGGAGTGAGGGGAGGGGGGCTGGGGTAGGAAAGTACTCAGGAACAGTGGAATATGTATCTATAAACGGTCTTAATCATATAAACAAGAACTTTCATCAAACTTTTAAAACAAACCTCTCTTGACAAGTTCGTGACGATTTTATTTAGCAATGCTGAAAACAAAACTAAAAAACACTTCTCCTTCCTGTTTGCTCCAGGAAATACATACCGACTGATGTACTTCGGACCCCTACCCCATTTAAGCCTTCCAAGTATTTGCACACAACGCCTGGTGTGGCACTGCAGGATCGACACTGGACTTTGAACCATAGGGTCAGCAATTCAAACTCACCAGCTGCTCCTTGGAAACCCTGTACACGGTCGCAATGAGTTGGGACTGACTCAGTGGCACTTAACATTACTCATACTGGGAAACACTTTGATCACATGATTCAGTGACACTGGTTACATTGTTAGTGTTGTGCAATAATTCTAACTGCAAATTATTTCCATATTCAATTTGCATAAAACAGTAATTCTTCCCATACCTCACAAGAAAGGACAAGGGCAAAAAACACCAAAATGTGAAACACAATAATAATTTAG